ATGTTAGATTATATGATATCTTATTTTTTAAGGAAAATGATAGGGGCACACCTCCAACCACACCTTCAACCACACATCCTCTCTCATTTGTTACAGTGCACCAAGCCCCATATGGGATTTTTAAAATCCCATGTGGGGCCCGGTGCACTGTAACAAATGAGAGATGAGGTGTGGTTGGGGGTGTGCCCCTAGTGCCACCCATTTTTTAATCCCACTCACTTCTATAAACTAGTTGGATTGCACGTGCACATGCACGTGGTAAAATTTTTATTATTTGTTTAAAATTTATAATTTTATTTATAAAGATTTATTATTAAATTATGGAATGTAAGTAATAGATCAAACATATAGGCATAATCTAAACATTCAACATTTGAACAATGAAATTATATTTATTAATTGATTGGGCGATAGTACAAGGATTGCATCTATAACGTGATTGATCAATCAAATATCGTCACAAAAATATATGTAATAGTAATGTTTGATGATGTGGATGTAAGTACAAGCTCATGGCATTCGAAGCTTGACTAAGTTTTTGCAATACGTAATGTGTGAGTGCATATATTCACAGATGAAAAATTTCACAATCCCATATAAATTCCAAAACACTCATTAAACTTTATCTAATCCAACATTATTATTAAGGTCGATGAGTAACTTTCTAAGGACAGGGGATTTGAAATATAAACAATAGATGAATATTCCCGAGGATTATGGGAGAACAATCATCAGATAATCAAAGAATGTCAACACATCCAAATACAAAAAAGGTGAACACCCTTGGCTTCAAATCTCGAAATACTCTTGGATACTCAAAACAAATGCAAACACAAAAAGAAAACGAAATCAACACATTCAAACATTAGATAAACGCATTTAATACTCTTATCAATACCATTCAGCAACTCCAGAAACAAAACTGTAACATTCACTAAAGTTGTAAGCTAAAATATATTTTTCAGTAAACTACAAATAGATACTAACAGACAACACCTTAAACTGTAAATAAAATTTCCCAAAAAATTAAATAGAAAAAGAATAGGAATTTTACGGTCAAACCGTAAAATAAAGATTCAATAGGCAACTCAAGCAAATACTCCCCCCAACTTACATTTAACAACCCAAAATTCACGTTCATGTCATTCTGAAGTACATGACTCAATAGATATAACATGAATGTTTGTTTTTGCTTCTACACCTTTGCATTTGAATGCATTCCATAAGCCGAGGTAATAAAATTGGATTGTTCACGATGTAGCTCCTAGAATAATAGTCTCTATATTTGTAGGCATGAGAACATTAAAGCCATCAGCAGCCGTGGATACCCACATCCCTGGGATCTGCTGGTACCAGTGTATTTCCTTCAAATATTTTTGGCCTTATACACACACACACACACAAAATAACAAATTTATATTAGTTTCTCCTTAATCACATACAGATACAAGGAATAAGATAAATCTAACAGTTATATAGAGAACTTTTTGATGTAAATGTAGGTTTGGCAAGAACATATGTGGGGTTGCTCATATTCTTTTGGGTCTCTTGCAATGTTAGATTTATTTGGCAAAATATATTTCCACATACATCTTTTACGCAAGTAAGGTCATCAATTTTAACAAAAGAAACTGTGACAAGATGTCTCCAAAAGAATAGGAGAAATAATATACCTATGACCTGACAAGCTAAGTCGAGAAAAATGTAATTAAAAATATTGACTAAGAAAGGCAGCTCATAGTACAAGAGCAAGTCTAGCTCACGATTGTATATAAAACACCAAGTGTGGCAAGACTTGTAAATTGAACAGACAACACATAAAGTCATTAGTGTTTGGCAAGTTTAGTTGATGACCATAATAATGTTCAGTGAAGCAGAAGAGATTGATTAAGTCAAGACGGTAATTTTGTGGTCTGCAGGAGATGAGAGGAAAAGTTGGATGACTCACTTCATAGCTTCTTTGTCCAGTTGTATATGTAACCTGAGACTCTTTTACAGTGTCTTGATGATTGAGATAATACATTTTGTTTGTTTCATGAGATATAATCGTGGAGGGATTATATAGTAGCATGCATGATTTTTATAATTAAAGTGTGTGAGAATAACATGCTATATTTGCATCATGCAAATTCTTTTGTATCATGCAAATTCTTCTGTATCTGATGTGGGACAGGCACTGGAGCAGTGTAATAGAGGCATGTCCTAATATCATGCATCAAGAATCATCAGTTTGCTAAAGTTTTTGGGTCAAGGGTGTTAGAAATATTTGAGTCAAGACTCACGATGTGGGAAGAAACGCGGATGAATGATGATATTTGTTGGAGTGCTTTCTCCAAGCTATTGAAGCAATCGAGTCTTGCACTTCTCAATGCCTACACGAGGCCAGGATTTCCTTATGGTGCTTGGGAGGTGAAGAGTCTGCTCTTAGAAGCTCTTATCTCTGATGATGTAGCTGAGTCCCAAGCTAAGAGTTTCGAACAAGCCAAACAAGCTTGCAGTTAACTAATCTCTCTTAATTTGACCCTTTTGTTTCAATTTGACCATGTTAATTATTAGGATATAAAAAAGTATATACTAATAGAACATGACAAATACCTCCATATGATTATATAAATGATTATATGATTATCGCAACGAAAATTGATTATTTTATCAAAAATTGATGACCGGGTGTTAAATGTTACTTCTAAACCTTAGGGAGATATTTTGTCATCTCTACAAATTATAGTGGAACTTTTGTAATTTATCCGGACAACTGGAATAGGAACAAACATGATGAACGAAAAGGAGCTGAGGTGGTTCTTTTATCTTTACTTTAAATTCAGCCTCTTCATCCTCATCTCTTTCCAATGAGAGGTCCCATATTATGGAAATATAAAACAAACACGATTTAGATAGGACTACTAAAAAAATTAAGTTCCACGACATTTTTGCTTTTTTGCCTTCTATGTAGTTAATGATGAAAATGATACCCATTAATCTTATATATATATATATATATATATATATATATATATATATATATATATATATATATATATATATATATATATATATATATATATATATATATATATATATATATATATATATATATATATATATATATATATATATATATATATATATATATATATATATATATATATATATATATATATATATATATATATAGACACACACACACACATACACACAAAATAACAAATTTATATTAGTTTCTCCTTAATCACATACAGATACAAGGAATAAGATAAATCTAACAGTTATATAGAGAACTTTTTGATGTAAATGTAGGTTTGGCAAGAACATATATGCGGTTGCTCCTATTTTTTTTGGGTCTCTTGCAATGTTAGATTTATTTTGCAAAATGTATTTCCACGGACATCTTTTACGCAAAGTAAGGTCATCAATTTTAACAAAAGAAACAGTGAAGAGGGGGACCATGATATCTCCAAAAGGAGAAATAATATACCTATAACCTCCAAAAGGAGAAATAATATACCTATGACCTGACAAGCTAAGTCGAGAAAAATGCAATTGAAGATATTGACTAAGAAAGGCAGCTCACAGTACTACAGCAAGTCTAGCTCACGATTGTATATAAAACACCAAGTGTGGCGAGGCCTATAAATTGAACAGACTACACATAAAGTCATTAGTGTTTGGCAAGTTTAGTTGATGACCATAATAATGTTCAGTTGTAGCACCTCCACAGTTGTAGCACTTCATGGGAATCTTGGGGCCGCCAGCCTCCTGACATATAACAATAACTCAATTATGAATAATTAAACAATTCTGAACTTTGATCCTAAGTTAATATAATGAATAGATATTTAAAAAGAAAAGGAAAGTAGACCTCCACAGTTGTAGCACTTGTTAACTAGAATAGATCAGCATAAGTAATACATGGGTACTTGTCCTTGATAGGTTGAATAAGCTTTAAAGCATTCACAATGCATGTTACCATTATCAAGACCTTTCAATATTACCAAGCAATGAGATTGTGTGTTAAAATGCTAATGAAGATATACATTACCAGTATTGGCTGCATGTTTAAGTTCAACTTCAAATCGTAGACTTCCATTAGCTCCTCCTCTTTTTGGCCATTCTTCAATATTCTTGTCATATGTACTCGCATCAAGCCACCCTAAAGCGGATCTGCCAACCAGAATCAAGCAGACGATACACTCATCAAGTTTTGTACTCAGTTATACTTCATCTAAGAAGATTCATAGGAAATCCAAGAAAGAAAGTGAATATACAAATAAATTTCAAAATCAAAATCAAAGTACAGAAAATACTCAACTCATACCTGAATATTTTCTTTGATTCATAGATAAAATCAAATCTTACCTTCTTCGATGATTTCCTTCGTGATCCTAACTGATGCTGATCTGCTAGGGTTAGGGTTTCGTCGAGGGGAGAGGGATAGGGAGGAGAATGAGGGGGGTCTGGGATTTTTGACGTAGGGTTTGCTAGTGTTTGGGGAGGAGAGGAGGAGAGTGTTGAGGCTGGTGAAGAGGGAGGGGAATTCTTGGAGGTTTGAGGAGAGAGGGAGGGACGACGAAGAAGGAGATTGAGAATGCATAACCGACGGAATGGAGAATGAAAGAAACAAAGGGTTTAGTGCTGCTGATTTCTGAATTCTGTGTAACGATAAAAAAGGTATAACTTTGTTATATTTACAATAGGTAAATGGTAATTTAGGGTAGAGAAAGTTTTTTTAGTACTCCATCTTTTAAAGGGTAGATGATAGATGATAGATGATATGAAAAAAAAGTGCGGAAGCACTTTTCACTTAAACCTATATAAACCAATGTTATTTCCAAAATTGTCCGCAAAATAATAAAAAAATGCGGTCCCAGGTTTTTTTTGACCGGAAGCAGCCGGTCTTCCTTCTCGTTAGAGTTTCGCGCTCACCCTTTTCGTCACTCTCCTTTGCCCCCAATTTCTCCTCTCAAACCTCCGCCTCTCTCCTCTCCCCCTCTTTTCTCCCCCGTAAATTTCTGAAGTCAAAACCCTAATCTCGCATCCTAACCGTATCGAGATCGCCCAATAGGTAACAATCACCTAATCTATCTTGCCGCGGATCGATCGTCTAGGGTTTCTATTTTAGGTTTTTTTTCGTTCCCTTAATTCTGTGAGGATGCGTTATTCTTAAACTTCAGCAACGTACAACATCTTCCTCAATAATCTTACGAATCGTCAAGTGAAACGACATCTTATTTGAAAGGTTAATTTTTGTTTAATAAAAATGACTTTTTTTAGATTGTTTTGTGTGTATATTTTGAATACGTGCTCATGCTATTATATGTTAGATTCCATTTGGTTCTACTGGAGTCCAATGTGGGTTTTACAAGGGATCTATAAGAGTTGTTCTAGGTCTCTTACAATGATTTTGATATGTCGGGTCTTGGAATCAATTTTAGACGGGGAAAGGCCAACAAATTTTTATATTTCAGCACTTTTTTGTGTGTTGGGGAACAATAAAATTTGTTGGGTTACTCTATGATGTTGTAGGTGATGGGAAACTGGGTCGCGGGTGAATCTGCTGACTGGGCGAGCTCCTTTCCTCACACTGTAGCTTCACGACCGCCCTCTGATGGTTCGGTGAGAATCTCTCTTAAGAAGATGAAAATAGTAAAATATGGTGGAAATCTTAGAAATTTGGGTTGGGAAAGTTACCACTGTACGTTACTATTTATAGAGGCTTGCTCGTTTTGGATGCGTGGCAGTCTGGGAGAAGGTGATAGGATCTAAGATGCAAACCTAGAGGGGGTGATAGGATTGCCAACGGGTTTTCGAGATTGCTTAATCACAGCAGAATTAAAAATAATATTAAACAAAAGTAGTAAGCACAAAAATTACAACCTATGCAAATTCAGCTAGAACATACAAAAATTTTATATTAGTTGGGATCAAGAATCCTACATCTACTCTTTCTTCTTGTCGAAGGGGCTTCCTCACTATAATTAAAGTTAACCTAACACCAACCCAATTCAGTAGGGTTACAAGACAGAAATCCTAGTTTCTCCCAAACTAGTGTCTGGCCTAACTTAGCACACTGAGTAATCTTAGCCCTAGCTAGTCACCATAACCCTCAGTTCAGCCTCAACCTGAGTAGGCTGACAAACATCCACACAACCAATCACAAGATGTAAATAATGAAAGTTTAGAACAAAAATAATATCATTAAACACAAATAAAACTATCTTACATCCCTTTCGATTTAGCAAACCTTTCTCTTGATGATATAAGTGAAGCTCTGGAAGAACAGTGTCAATTTTGAGGTCTAAGGGAAGCATTCCTTGAAGGTTGAAGCTCAAATGATGAAGAATACGACGATGGTGCGATCTGAGAAACCTGAGAAAGATTTTTTTCACCAAAGATAAAACTCTCTCTCTCCCCCTCTCCCTCCCTCCTTCTCTCTCTCTCCCTCTCTCCCTCTCTCTCTCTCTCTCTCTCCCTCTCTCTCTCTCTCTCTCTCTCTCTCTCTCTCTCTCTCTTCCTCTTCTTCTTTTCTCTGAATTAGATCAATGATAACTTTTGAAAAATGAGAGAAAAATCCTATTTACCATCTGCAATGAACAGATCAAATTAAACCTTGAATAACATATGAGAAATCAGAATTGAACCTAGGCTCATCGATGAGCATGCATACTCATCAATGAGTGCACCCGATGCATGCTCATCGATGAGAAACAAAACACATCGATGCATATCTTTGGCAAGCTGCTCTCTATAATTGTGATAAGCTCACAATCATCGATGCATCAACCTCATCATTGGGCTACCTCATCTCATCGATGAGCATCTTTCCAGTTGGTGCAAATGAGCTGATTCTTGTTTTCAGTTCTAACTTGTTGTAACCTGCATAAAATCTCTCAAACACATAATAGACACATACGAACATTTGTTATTATCAAACGAAGTCAATCGTACAGACATGGTCTTAACAGAAGGGAAATGTGAGAACATCGGGTTAATCGAGGTGGTTATTATTCGACCATTGTCCTTTCTTCTTGGAAAAGGTGGAGCAGAAGGATAGCAGACACGTGTTCAGGATAAGCTTTAACGGTTTTTGATAGGGTATCTTTCTAGAAAATGGTGTTTAACTTCTAGGGTTATTATTGGCCAAGCCCTTGGGCATTTTGGTGTCGAGCTCACTTTGAGAGCGAGGGACTAATTTTCTGGTCCATTTCTTTCACCCATGTGTTGCTCACGTGATGAATGTGGATGCTTATGTGGAAGTATCAAATATTTATCGTATAACATTGTGGAAACTTGTATGTCGTGCACAGCCAACTATTTTTGCAACCTTTTCGCTGTCAATTTTATACTCATATGCATTGTAATTTTCAATTTTATATTAAATTGTTTGAATATGCTCATAAGCATTGTAATTATTCATAAGCATTGTAATTTTCAATTTTATATTGCAAAGTTTCAGCATGTAATATTATCATATCTCATGATAACATGTGATGCACAATGCACTATTCTATTGCAGTTAGATGTCCGCTACTTGAGGTCTATAACACCTGAGTTATTTGCTATTGGCCTTTATTGCGAGCTGTAATTTTGGAGATCTTAGTACCTAGCACTGATAATAATATGGATGGGAGCAATGAGTCTCCTGATCATGTCATTGCTGAATTACTTAATATGGGATTTGAGTTTGATCAAGCTATAAAAGCAGTGGAAGCTGTTGGTCCATCTCTTGAGGATACAGTGGATTTCATCTTGAACGGTTCTTGCAATGGCAATACTGTTAGTAACAGAAGGGTTTCAGGTCTTACTTGTTCTACAGGCCAAACACACCCTCTGAAACAGCAAGTTTCGTCACTGTTTTCTTCACGTAGGATGAAACAGTCGAGCATTACTGACCATGTTTCATCATCTGGTAAAAGAAAAAGGAACAATCTTTGTAGTTCTTCTAAAGAATATACAAATGATAGATTTGAGTCTATATCTGAATTATCTCAGCGGGATTCAAATGCTTGCGTGGACCACGCAGAGTTAGAGGCACCATCAGTGGAGATTGGTACCGTTCAGCCTCGAGAAATTTCACAGTTTTGTAGTTCACCGAGTCAGGAGATTGATTTGGGGAATTGGGAGCAGAAGGCTTGTGGTATTTTACAGAGGCATTTTGGGTTCTCATCCTTGAAGAGTTTTCAGAAGGAAGCTATGGAAGCTTGGTTAGTGCGTAGAGATTGCCTTGTTCTTGCTGCTACAGGATCAGGTATATATATTTTGTTCATGTTCCTTTATGCTCTTTCAAATTTTTCTTTGCAGGACATGTGGATTTCTGCGCTAATATTGACTTCATATTAAAGAAATGTGCACGTTTTTCTATACTGTGCAGGAAAATCTCTCTGCTTCCAGATTCCAGCATTATTGACTGGCAAGATTGTAGTCGTGATTTCTCCCTTGATAAGTTTGATGCATGACCAGTGTTTAAAGTTAGCAAAACATGGGATATCAGCATGTTTCCTTGGATCTGGACAACCTGACCGTACTGTTGAGTGCAAAGCTATGAGTGGCATGTATAGGATAATTTATGTTTGTCCTGAGACGGTATTAAGGTAGAAGCTTTCTCTCGATTGATATTTTTAAGGTTGGGTAAATAAAGTCGTTATTTACCATGTCGACATTCCCAGAGGTTTCCTTTTTGCAGACTTACAGAACCACTTACAAGGCTTGCAGAAAGTCATGGGATTGCACTCTTTGCCATCGATGAGGTTCACTGCGTTTCAAAGTGGGGCCATGATTTTCGACCTGATTACAGGTCTGTTTTAGTGCTTACTAGCTTGCTTGCAAATCACTGGCTGCTGGTACTCTTCATGAAGAAATTCTATCTACCTCGGTTATAGTAATGACCTGTCTTATATGATGTTATAGTATCCTTTTTTTGTAGCAGACTGAATGTGGAAATATGGAGTATCTTACTGCATTTCTTTTTCTGTATGTTTAGGCAGTTGTCCATACTTAGAAAAAACTTCAGCTCTTGCAATTTAAAATTCTTGAAGTTTGACATCCCATTGATGGCCCTGACGGCTACAGCGACGATTCCAGTTCGTGAGGACATTATCAAGTCTCTGCACATGTCAGAGGAAACGAAAATTGTCTTGACATCTTTCTTTCGACCGAACCTACGATTTTCAGTGAGTAATAAATCTTGTGGACTGGAATTAACAATCCATTAGCTTTCTGTACTTGCAATGTAATTGTTACCTCTTTGATTGGAAATTTAAGGCTTGATATCAATTCCCCCCCCAAAAAAAAAAAAAAAAAAAAAAAACAAAAAAAAAGGTAAATAAAAAAAAGAACTTTATAAATTAGAGAACCCCCCTATAACTTTCAACATTATACAGTCCTCCACTCCTCCCTGAACTGTAGGAAATTATCACAAACGGCGTTAACATGAAGGATAAAATGTCTAACTACCCTTGTTACTAACGACCTATCCTAACCCGGAAAAGTCATAAAGTTTTCCGTATTTCTTAATCTGTGCACTTCTCTGTTTGGATGGTATAGTTTTAGTTTATGTCTTCTTTAATGCTTTTGAATTTTGTGGGACCCCAAAGGATGCAACCTCCAGCAATTCATTTTGCGCTATATTTTGATTCAGATATTTGCATTTAACAATCACTTCAGTTAATTTAAGGATTATATGTGTAAAATTTTTTTGCTGCCGACGGTGTTAAGGTCCCTCTGAGAGTTTTGTTAACGAATTTTCCTGTCTCTTGATGGATGTTGGTTTTACGCACAGACATTTAAGTAGGGTGAGCATTAGTCCCTTGCTATTTGCTTACTATGTGGTGGGAAACATTTATCCGAAAACTTCATACCCGGCTTCTCTTGTTATTATTCTTTGTATTTTCTGTTTGTTGTAAAGTATAGGATATTGATCTACCAAAACATATAAAATGTGACAACTATTATAGCTTATTAATCATTCACCCTGCCATTTGCAGGTGAAACATAGTCGAACATCTTCACCATCGTCATATGACAAGGATTTTCGTGAACTAGTAGAAACTTATGCAATGCCAAACGAGAAGAATAGAAAAGGACCAACTAAGATACCAAATTATGTAGAGGATGATTATCGTACCTACTGCAAAGCATCTGATGATAGCTCTTCTGATGCGGATGAAGCATTGGTATCAGATTCTAGTGATTGTAAAGGTGAACACAGTGAGGAAGATGATGTAGATGCAAGTGTCATGAATAAGAAATCTGATTTACCTTCTAAGGAATGTGAATTAACAGCTGAATATTTGGAAGATGAAGTCGACGTTCATCAATGTGTGGATGACTTAGATGGTAACTTTTCTCCTTCAGTTGGTTTAGCCTTTGATTAAATGCTCTTTTATGTGTGTGTGTGTGTGTATATTTATGTGTGCGTGTATATTTATGTGTGCATGCGTGCCGGGGTGCGCGTGCGCTTGCCAGTGCCCGTGCTCGTGCCCATGCGCGTGTTGGTGGGTGAGCGGGTGCACGCACACATGTGTGAATTATGTTTGCATATATGTGGGTAATTAGTTTGTATTGTATAATTTATCTTTATGTTTATGTCAATGTTGGTTTCTATTCCTTAACTATATTTACTTTACAATTTTATCAGTTTCTTGTGGTGAATTCCCTGGAAATCTTCTGCTTGAGAGTTCAGTGATTCATGAGGCATCTGAGATGTCTGATCTGCAAGAAGCTTTGCACCAAGGCCCCACAATTGTGTATGTTCCTACTAGAAAAGAAACAACAAAAATAGCTGAATATCTGTCCAGAGCTGGAGTCAGGGCTGCAGCATATCATGCAAAGGTCTGTACTTTTTTCTTTTTTATGTCACACTACTCATTTAAAACTGTCTGCATCTGCTACCAGAAAGATAACAGTTGTCTAATTTCCTTCTGTTCTTCATGTATTTTATCCTTTTTCTCCAAAATGAGAAATGCTTTATTGTCACTTCTGGGATGTTGAAGATTCTGATATCACATCGCACAACGTGTCAGCCTTCAATAGTCATTATCTTTACAAACAATCTATATCAGAGCATGTAACTTCTCGGCCTTTGACAATTCTTGTATACAAGATATATGGGGAAAGAGATATTTGCCTGTGAAACAGTGCGGGGGGCATTGTGAGGACATGTTGGTATCAAGCACACCCTTTGACTGCGAGCCAATATTATTATTATCTATCGCCTGCATCAGCATAGAGACTGATGTAGAAATCATTTACTATTTATGGTTCAGCACAAAAGGGAGCTTCTAATTAATAGCAAATAGTTGAAAAAAGGGGAACAAACTAGGAGGCAATTTCCTAAAAGTTCTCAAACTTCTACTCCTGACCATCCTTGAATGCAGTCTATTAGCGCTCAATCTCACACTTCACTGTCTAAATCATAATAATTACTATGCATCAATTTCTCCACATAAGTATTTAGTGGACCTTCTGGACGAAGTAGAATGATGGTTAAGTGAAAGGAATGACAAGGTTTAGGGTTATGACTTGATAAAGCTTAGTTGTCATCAGCTCTAAAATGTAGCTAATGATATTTCCATTTCTTTTCATCCTGTTAGTCTCTGATATTCTTCACAGGGTTTCTTTCTTCATATATAATAGTTGTCAGGAGCAGATTTATGTTGACCACAATTGGATAAAGGTTCTCAACTTTATTCAAAAAGATAGAAGATTGATTTTTGTATATAAGATTTAGAATCCAAGTACGGGAGCAGTTTTTGGTTCTTGCCATTGAAGGTGTCTATTCCTGTAAATCTGGTTTCGTCTTTATACTTTATCACTAATGTTCACAGAAAATGGGTGGTTATATGTCACCCATGGCACTTATCTGGTTGGACACATGCAGAAGTTTATGATGCCACAGTTTTCTTGGTCTTTTGGTAATATTTGATACATGAGCAATTTGCATTCACTATATGATTGAGAACTACTATCTTCTATGTACAATATAATTAATTTCTAAACGATTGAAAGTTGCTTATTCATATTGTGGCATGTTTAGCCAGTTTTGTTCAAAAGCAACCCTTTTTGCGAATTTTTTTCCTCCCAGTATCACATAATGCAGGGTTCTCCATAGTATTATATGAAATTAACATATGTAAAGTCTGCAGCTTCCAAAGGCACATCTGAGGCGGGTTCATCAGGAGTTTCATCAAAACTCATTGGAGGTAATCTAGATTGTCTTCAAGTTGAACGTTTAACATTGGAAGTGGCTGTTTGGGCTAAGCTTAGACATTCTACACTGGCATCTTAGCTTATAACATGTAACTTTATGGCTTCCAGTTGATGCAATATTTGAAATACTCTATAGTTGTACGAAGATAATGTCTTTGTGCACCATAGCCTGTTTACAGTATACAACCAACTGCAGAAGCTAGCTTTTTGTTTCTACTTAAAATTTGATATTCTCACAATATCATATTATTAATGATATATTGCGGTTTACTCATCGTCGCAATGTATTGTGATTTGCTACCATATATTTTGTTGGAAAAATAATTTATTTAATCATCGTATATCTCTCAGTTCTCCATGATTGCAATGGCATCTATGTAACATCTATTATAAACAAAGTTAACTATTATTTTATGCATGGAGCTAGCTTCATGATCCATGAGGTTTACGCCTTACAGTCTCTTCATTAGATTGCAAAAACTAACGGGTGACAACCCTAGAGGATGTTTTCTGCACTTTGTGCAATGACATTCTATTACTAGGATAACATTTTGGAGCGAGCAGTTACCTTATAATTCTGAGTCATTCTTCAGTTGATTAGAACTTTCCCCTCCTAGAATAGAATCATTGATCTGCTTATTCATACGCATGCGCATCTGTTAACATTCAGTACTAGAGCCAAATTTATTGCACAGGGGTCAACTTGAAAATGTATTTAAATATGTAATGTGCTTTAGATAAATTATTGGTTTTGTTTGAAATTTAAATTAAACTAATATTGAACGAAATTAAGATTGCTTTCATGAAATCATAATATTAAACGTTATTTAGAGAGTATAAATTTAATATTTTTTCTAGTGAAAGTGGAAGAAGTGAAGCTGTCTCCGTCAGATATGTTATCTGGCATTTGTTGTTTGAAATTAAGGAAATAGATTTCTAAAATTTTATATTAAATTGTAACAAAAGGAAGTCCTTTGCATAAATAAGTGGTATTGTTGTTTCTGGAGACCATGAAACCTATTTGCTCTAAATATTTATATGTTTTATATCTAGTCTAGAGCTATGAAGCACGGACACGCATAACATGAAGCCGTGTCGTGTCGTGTCGTGTCGGACACACGTGTCGAACGCACGTATCCTATGTATTTTTTAGGATTTGCCTCGTGTCGGCGTGTCGGATGGCCGTGTCGGATCCGTGTCCGTGCTACATAGGTCTAGAGTCTATGGACTTCATATTACTGTCTGATATATAGGCCTGGAAGAACTTTGAAAATGATCTCCTATTTTAGACTTTTAGTATATCCTGGATTTCATATTCCTTTCTAGACCGAGGATTCAATGTTTTGCTTTTTCCCTTTAGTATCACTATTTTTAAATTAGAATTGTTTATCAGCATAAGAAACCTAGTGTTTGTAAGGAAAAATAATATATAACATTTCTTGTATTCAGTAACTTTAAAAGGGCTTCTCCTTTTGATGAGACCTTTCTATTGATTTTAATGTTTTTGAAGTATGAGGTCTTCTGGAACATAGAATAATAATCTTCTGTAATAATTCTACAGAACTAAAGTGAGGCTTTAAGAAAACCTTGAATCAGCATGAGTATCAACTAATTCTTTTAATTATATTATAATCTTTCTGTAATGTTGTTTTCATATAATCAATCTGATATGATGGGTTTCTTTCTCAGTTATTGCCTTGAATATGCATATTCCGTGAGGTCGTTTTTTCTCATCTTTTAGTTTTTTATAATAAAAAAAGCATATAGAATAAGACATATCTTAGTCAAACCAAATTGTACTAATGCTTGGTGTGGAATACTGCTAGCCATTATAAGGTTTTCGCTTATGATGGAAAATTTAGCTGATAAAAAATTAGATCAACTGGCGAAGGAAATGGTTAATTGGATTCAAATTTTAATGTTAGTTATATATTATAGGTATTTTCTTACTTGAACGTGGTTGCCATCAAAATGAGACTAAAATAGACTATATTACACTAATATAGTAAGAATGAAGTGAAATTTTTCTCTAGGAAAATATTGATTGGTAAAGAAGGTGTAACCGGAATGAACTGCCATTACGTTTGTCAAAATTTTTTGTTCTATTTCTAAGATGTTCTCTTTATGATAGTACTCATATATGATTTAAATGTCACTAAATATTGTTAAACCCTCCCTTGCAGGTTGTTGTTGCAACAATTGCTTTCGGAATGGGTATTGACAAGTCAAATGTTCGAAGAATTATTCATTATGGCTGGCCACAGGTGGGTATTTTGGATCAGATATCTTAGCAACTATTTTTATATATGACTCTGCTGTAAATCTGAAACGCCAAAATCTCAGAAGTGTTTTTATTTAGGTCAATGTGTGCATTTCAGTTAGAAGTAGACAATCTGTTATTCAACTTATCTCAATTTGTAACCTCACACCTAACGTTTAATGCAGGTTCCAAACTTCCAGTCAATAATAATCCAACTCCACAATCTCACAGAAATACCTTGTCTGGAAAAAATGTAGATTGACCAGTAATTAACTGTTGACAGCCTTAACTGTTGACAGCCTTTTACTTTCTCACTAGAACTGGGTCCAAAAAGTATTCCTCTTCCTTTCACCTGATCCCTTTTTGGTACTCTTTCTTTATGGATGAAGTCATAGGTTAGGATATAATAGCAGTGCATATCTAAGTCAGTGGCTTTGGTCATATGCATGTTCGACAAGTAAAAGTCATGTAGTGTTTGTCTGACTAACGTGGATTCCAAACAAAGGGAAATGGTGATATATAAAAGTAAATCTATAAGAGTCAGGCATACATTTATAGATTTCATGATTAGAATGCATCTACATTACCCTAGCCTCTCTAATGTGTTTGGTCAACAACCTTTGGCCCTTCAGGACGGGGTTGAGCAACTGATGTTGGCTGTCAATCGGATGTTGACCCTCTAGAAATTGGTCCTTAATTTTAGGCCAAGGCAACTTGGAAAAGGGAAGAGATTTATAGTATCAGCTGGGAAAGTGTAATCTACCATACTGGTCCTCAGTTTCTGCCCATAGACAGAGTAAAAAAGTCCCTTTAGTTTAATAAAATGGAGAAAGATCAAGTACGTAGATGTAGAGTGCCAGATTTGTGGTAGAATTAATAATTTACACTAAATCCACATACTAATTCCCTTTCCGTGTTACTATTTTTTCTCCTGGTGGAAAATGAATTGCTTTCCTCAGTGAGATGTGTACTTAAAGGAAAAGATATTGAAGTTGGCAAAAGTGAAATATAAAGTCCATGCATGATCGATTATAAAAATCTACCAGTGGTCCTAAAAGTTGTTAACAGGAGGCCGCATCCGCCGTTGTTGAAATTATGTTTATGTAGCTTTTTCGCTCGAGTTCCAAATGTTTAAAGTCTGTGTATCTTTTCTCTTCCATCATTTTTCCTGTTTGCGTTAGAAACTTAGAATAAACAATAGAAATTGTTTGCATTCTCCAATCTTACTGCAATTATGCTGCAAATTGATGGCCAGATAAATTAGCTGAGAACACTCCTTTGTCCTGATATCTATTGGTTTCCGGCTATACTTGCTGGTCCTTCCTATAAACCAGTCTGTTCCTGTCGATGTCATGGATTGGATCTACAGTTCTTGTTCCTTTAAGAATATGATTAGGGTATATGTTGCATGGGTACGTGTGCAGGTGCAGACATGGGCACGGGTGTGGGTAAGGGACACAGCAAATTTGTAAATGTAGATACAGGACATGGATATGAGATCGATATTGTTTTTTTATTACATTTTATGAGAACTAAAGTCTGTATAGCTTTTTTATGTTTCTTTTATTGAGTAGATTATAAATTGAAAAACTACTCACTTTTGGACTAGATATCCAAATCATTGTTTAAAATCATACTTTTGAACATGATATAGTCTGAAATGAACCAATCCGACTCCAACAAATCACTCAAATTTGATGTGAAGTGTAAAATATACGTTCAATAAGTGTACGACAAGTGTTTTAAACTAAGACATGTATTGTCTAATTAGACACATGTCTGCGTAAATGTATGTATATACTCAAGAAGTGTCAAAGGAGTGTCCAACACGGACATGGACATGGACTCGGACACGGATACAGGAGCCAATGTGAAGCGTCCGGGCAACCTAGATTAGGGTCATTATAAGAAATTATTATGAATTTTCATTTCTTTTCAGAAAAATGGCAGTCTAGCATGAACTTTGTTTTTTGAAGTCACTATCATGAAGTGCAAGGAGTATGGTAGTTTCCATGTCAGTATCATGAAAATTTGGGGGAGGGTAAAGTAAGAGAAATAGGTGGTTATAAGTGGCTTAGGGGCTAATTTTCTTGGATACTTTTCTAGGACAAATTGAATACTTAATGGAAATTCATGGTAGTCTCCTAAACTAGATTGTTTGTCCAAAAAATTTGGGATAACGTCTTTGTCCTTGTTATTGTGGTTGTAGCTGTAGTTGATGTTGTTGATGCTTTTCTTAGAAAACACTGCAAGTTCATGATAGTTTCATAATGTTTTCCCTTTAAAAAAATTGGTGTCTAGCAGATAATAGTCAAATGCCTTGTACTATTATTTTTACTGATGTGCTTATTACATTCTCAAGCTAATCTTATTTGTTCAACATTGTTTTGCCAGAGTCATGTGGTTGTATATGCTCTGTAATGTTTCTTCTTGTGACTTTTTGCACATATCTACTGTTGATATTGTGTAGCAAACTTGCTTTGACTTGAAAATGCTACCGGAATGTCGTTTGTGTGTGTGTGTTTCCCTCATGCAAGAGCTTGTTTTCGGGAAAAGTTGCTGTTTTCATTGCTTTTGAATCTGTTACAACTTAAAGCGTTACAACAAGAATCGATAAAAAAGTCGGTCTTTTTATAAGACCTCCTCGTGCAACAAAACAAAGATTACAACTTTATCGAAAATAAACACGAGATCCCGTTTTGGTGCGGTCTCGCTTGCGTGGGTCTTTAGCCTGTGACGGGGACGTCAATATCCGTGGACCACCGGTAGATCAGATCCGTTCCGAGAAAAATCGGGCAGAGCTTCGTCTATCCGCGAAGGGATATAGAAGCAGAACTTCGTCGATCCGCGTGAGATCTAGAAGTTTATAGCTCCTATCTCGGATAATCGAGATATTCGCTCTACTTAGTATCACCGCTAAGGGGCAACACTAAGGAAAAGAGAAGGGGTGAATGAAGAAGAAGACTCCTTTGCTGTAGACGGCTCGCTCACTCCTCGCTGCAGCAGGGCTTCGCCTAGGCTCTCTCAAATTTCAGATCTCAAGGAAGAAGCCCAAGATCTGAAATTAGCCAAACACCAAAAGCCACAAAAATCAGGAGCCCCCTCAAATGGAGGCCTAAGGGGCCTATTTATAGGAAACCAAGAGGGGGGGTGGTAAAAGGTGAGGACACCCCCTTGGGGTGTCTCCGGGAAAATCGTCTTTTGTCCATTAACATCTTGGACGTTATGGGAACAGAGCCGCTCAATACCTGGAAAGAGTTGAAGGTACGCGGAGAACAGGCCGAACGCTTCCTCAGAAGGAAGAAAGCCGAGAAGAGCCAACTGATGGTCAACCCTCTGGATTCTGGTCTCGTACCTCATGATGAAGGGGACGCACCTGCAACAGTTATTGACGATAATCAAACGTCACGACAGCAGTCCCAAAGACAGCAGAAGAATTCGGATCCAAGGTTCCAAAACGAGTACTCGTTCAAAGACGAAGACGTTCCAGCCATCTTCGAGACCCTTCTCGAAAACAACAAAATCAAGCTCCCGCCCATCATGAATCAGGAGGAAGCTGACGATTCTGCGGATCTAAAGTACTGTGCATGTAGGCATCGAAAATTGCCTATAGGTCTCCACGAACGGTTCAGTGTTAAAGAGTAACGATGAACGTCACTATCCGAACCACAGGAGTCCAATTGACGTCGACGAACGACTGAAGTGAATCGACGAGCTACGTGAGCGGATAGGATTTCAGAACAACGAAGACCCGGACCAATCGGGAACCCAGCGGTGTTCACAAAAAGGACAACGCCCTTCGTGCCTCGACCACTCTACAGATAATCCAACCACCAGAGCGGATCGAACTCTTCGTCAAGCATCCAGCGCACCTGGAATCACTCAAATCCGAGTTCGGACGAAGAATCTACAGGGAAAACAACCGAATCACCTCAAACGGAGTCTCGGGAGGTCGAAACACCCCGGGGGTGTCTAGGAAAAGCCTATTATCAAGAAGCAGTATGCTTTTCAAAAATTATTAATCATTCCCCTGTTATAAACCTATTATGAAAAGCAGTATGCTTTTCATAATTATTAATCATTCCCCTGTTATCTTATGATGTTTGTTTTAATTGCAGAGTCTGGAAGCATATTATCAAGAAGCAGGGAGAGCTGGAAGAGATGGAAAACTAGCAGATTGTAGTGAGTACATATTTATTACAATTTTCAGGATATTGCTTTTATATAATCCTCATGGTTTAGTGAGTCCCTTCTCTGTCAGAATCTTCAGATAGCTTAGACTGGGCAAGGCAGTATATGCAAATAATATTTACATCATTTAATTGTGATAGTGCACATTCTTTCTTTAAATGATTTAGACATGCAATCATTCTTCTTTCCTTCACCCTTGATTTCAGAGTAATTGCATCTAAAATTTTAGCCTTCTGATACAGTTTTGTATGCCAACTTGTCGAGAATACCAACACTTCTTCCTAGTAAAAGAAGCGAAGAGCAAACAAAGCAAGCATATAAAATGCTTTCTGACTGCTATCGGTATGTATTCTGAATCTTTCCTAGGAAAATGTCAAATTTTTAATTAATCTTCTTAATTAACTTTCTTCTTCTTTTGCATTTAATCTAATTTGCAGGTATGGTATGAATACTGCAGCATGCCGAGCTAAAATACTTGTGAAATATTTCGGAGAGGAGTTTAGCTATGCTAAGTGTCAATTGTATGTCCAATTCTTTTCTCTCATCTCCTAACTCTCTTTTATTTTTTATTTTATTTTATTTTATTTTATTTTTTATTTTGGTGCTCTTTGCTCCAGATAGTTCATGGTTGAACATGCATTATTAATCTAGTATACCATATAAACATGCATTATTAATCTAGCATACCATATAAACATGCATTATTAATCTAGCATACCATATAATTTCTGTAAAGAAAGAAAAATAAGCAACAAGTTTTAGCATGGTTTCTTCATGGTATATTTGTTTTTAGTATTGTGTTCTTTTTCTTTTTCTTTTTCTTCACAAATTCAGACCAATATCTGTTGTTTCAGTAAGTTCTATTCTTTATGTTATTTAAATTTAGGTGTATTCATTTATGTTTTGAGGACCCAATGTGGAAAAAGATTTTGATAGTTCTGGGTATATGCTGGTGCACTTGCATCTAGTCATCATGATTATATATGTCGTGTTATATTAAATTTGGAATGCCAAAGATGTGAAGAACGGCTCTATGCTTTTGACTTTGAAAATGATATTCCTACACCTACCACACTCCCCACCCCCACCTTCTCAGCAACTGAACACTTAACCCACCAGGCCACCACTACACACATCCACCACCCAGCCAAAACCTACCACTTCTCACTTGCACACATTCTTACATGCATACAGACATCTCCAAACTCTCAAAACAAGGGGTGGATAAAATACCTCGATAAAGCAATTTTCAGGTTACATTAACCCTTGACAAACTTAATTAATAAACTTTTTATTACTTTATAATCATGGAAAGGTGAAAATAGTAGATGAGTGGTTGGAACGGCTGGGGTTGGGCAGGGAGATTGAGCCTTGTGATTGAGGGGAGGGTGTCAAATCCTGGATTGATGCTTTGGCTTTTGTAAAAAATACAGATATGACTGTTAAAATGAGGATAGCAATTTTCAGGTTCCATTAACCCTCGACAAACTTAGTTAATAAACTTTTTGTTACTTTATAACCATGGAAAGGTGAAAATAGCAGATGAGTGGTTGAAATGGCTGGGGTTGGGCGGAGCATCGAGCCTTGTGATTGAGGGGAGGGTGTCAAATCCTGGATTGATGCTTTGGCTTTGAAAAAAATACAGAATGTTGGAGAAATAAAGTGGGTCTTGAATGCAATTATTCAGTCATAACTCTCATCCATTTATGTAGTTGTACTTAATTTTAAAGGCTGATGGGTCCTGAATGATCTGCCCTTAGATATTCATAGACATCTGTAGGAACTAGCTATTTGTATGTGCCCCATCTAGCCTGTCCTCAACTGGTTACTATACACAAGATTTAATTACTGCTTTAATAACAAGAGGAATCACTCACACTGTGGAAAACAAGAACTTGTTTCTTTTGGAAATAACTATTAACTTTGCGAGGGTAAAGACAAGTATCATTAGGCACGTGGGTTAGACTCTTTTTATGGGACAACAAGCCCAAATGAATAGACAGGAAGTCCAAAACTCCAAAAACCATCTCAAATCAGCAAGCATTTTGTAAAGGAGAAGTATGTATTTCATTATTTGAGTATTTTGAACCACCGATTCTTAACTACCTGATTAGATCTTCCGGATTCTTTTCCCTTGATTCTGTTACATATATATTTTGTATGAACTACGGATTCTTAGCTTACTTGATTAGGTTTTGCCAATTGTTTTTCCCTGGTTCTGTTACATATAAGCTTTTGAATGATGTTTCATATAATCATTCTGAAATCTATCTATTCATGACATATTCTTAAATCTATTATATTATATGCAGGCACATACACATACGCACACACCCTTTTCATTTAAATAAGAAGCAATTCTCTTATTTGCTTGTTCTTCCCTTGAGTTTTATTTTCTTTAATATTTAGTGGCTTCTTTATATTTATAATTTTTATAATTTCCCATATCTTTCATCTGCAGATGCGATGTATGTGTTAATGGACCTCCTAAAATGCAAAATCTAATAGAAGAAGCTGCTACTTTCATGCATGTTCTGAAAGCTCAAGTTGTAAGTAGCAGCACATTTGTTTGGAAAAAATTAGTTTGCATTCTTTTTGTTAGTAGTTACTTCATCCGTTTAGGACAAATACCTGCAAAATCAAAATTTGTATGTTTTAGTGCAAAAAACCTTTATTTTGCATTTCAGTACATTTTTAGTCAGTTAGTTTTTTTTTGGTCTGTCTTTCTAGGTATTTTAAATTTTAGAACGTGATTATATTGGAATTATCTCTTGAAATGTTTCTTCTCATATTTAGTTAGCCTCATGGTAGGCTGACGCTGATCCACTCAGCTACTGAACACCTTAAGCTGTTATAATCATTTATTTGTAAAGAAGGAATCGTGATTGGTTTTGAATTGCTAATTATGTTTGTTCGCTGTTGTTTAATGAAGATGTAACATTCCAGGGAAATAGAAGTTTTGGGCATGTATCTCACGATGGTGCAATTTACAGTGAATCTAGCACAAGGAGGCCTTCTGAGAGAGCCAACTTCAAGATGCTTGTCAGTAAAATAAGAGAGAAGGTTAGCCGTCTTGAATAATATAGCTTAACTATGTAGTGCCATTTAAATCTCTGACTTTGTTCATTTCATCAGCGGTTTAATATAACCACTCTGCACGTGCACATGCACTTGTGCACACGTCTTTTTTTGGAGGTCGACATCCATTATGTGGCATAGGTTTTACGTCGTGTACAAAACCGGACATGCATGCATGCACACAGTGTAGATTGTGGTTTATCCTGCTTTCATGCCCTAGTTTAGATTGAGATAGGTTGAAGTATTTCGAGCATCTAAAACAGTACAGTTGCTTTGTACTGTAACTTTAGGCAGAAGTAGAGCGGGTCTGCCTGTGTTCTTGACTACTGCAAATGGTTCTCTTATGTGTTTCTAAGGTTCTATTAGCAGACATCTTTTTCTCACCTCTCTGTTTTTTTTTCCTTCCCTCTTTCTTCCCATGGGTTTTCCACTTTTCCCTTTTTTGTTTATATTTTTCTTCATTTTCTGTCTTCTGTTTCTGTCACGTTGTTTCTTCTTCCTTCTTTATGTTTCTTCTAATAGCTCAATTGGAGTTCTACCATTTTAATTGACTTGTCCAATTAGTAAAATTTTCTTGTTAAGCAGGATTGCAGCTTTTATGGCACCATGACCATAACATCCTTTGTCATTGAGAAGTATTCCAAATATTTGATTAAACAGTTGGCACTTGCTTATAAGGCATTTTGTAGGCTAGCTACTTAGTTAAGCAGGTTGCATGATGGAAAGTCACGATTTACATATTTCATTGTGAAATATTCTAAGGAGTTGGTTTTCTAAATATAAGGTTACATGTGTTGATTCATCAAATTTTGAATGATCGTCTACTTTTCAGTCCTGATTATGAAGACTGAAGTTAATCAAATGTGAGATGCTCATCTTCATTTGCGCTTTACACTATGAATAAATTTTTTTGATTTCTGTTCAATAAGCATCTTCTTTCGTTTTCACCTGTTAAAAAGAATATCTTAACCTCTTGGTTGTTTTTATTTCTGATTGGAAGTATGGTCTAATGCCCGTTTAACAGTCCCTGAAGTTCTCTACAACTGATTTGTTGTGGTGGCGGGGTCTTGCACGGATACTACAAGATAAGGGCTTTATCAGAGAAGGAAATGAATTGGTATGCACTAAAAAATTTTAGTATACATATGTGTTCTTCATACTACCTGCTGGATGAAAGATTTTCCTTTTTCCCCCTTTCCCGATTTGGTTCATCAATGGAATGACCTCTTTATTTCATTTTTCTATCAGTTTGTGATCTGAATTCTCTATTAGCCAATAAATTCGTGTTACTGAGGACTCTCATCGTGCTTCAACCTTTCCTTTTTGTTACAGGCGCGTGTTTCAATTATTTACCCAGAGCTTACAGAGTTGGGGTTGAAATTTTTGAGCTCTGAGTGTGAGCAAATTCTCTATGCATATCCTGAAGCGGACATGCTGCTCCCTGCCAAAAAATCGAAGCCATATTCTTCTTTCTCCGAATGGGGAAGAGGTTGGGCTGACCCTGAGATAAGACGGCAGCGTCTACAAGGATGGAAAGGGAGGTCGAAGAAGAAGAGGAAACCTTGGAAGCAAAGAGCAGATACTAGCACAGTAAGAGGAAGGTTATCAGTAAAACTATCTAAAAGAAAATTGTAAACGTCATATTTTCTTGGTGATGAAAAAGGGTTGACAACGTAATTTGCCAGAGAAAGCAAATTTCCTTTCCCCCTTTTTTTCATTCACTAAATGTAATCTTTTCTTTTTCTTGTCATGTTGATTTGCCAGATTTGGTTATTCAAACTCGGAGAAACTTGTAGACTGAACCATTTAAGAGGAATTTTACAACTGGATGAATAATTTTGGGACAAATTTTCAAAATAACTCCTTTAAGAATTTATTTTCAAAAAATGACTCATATCAAATGTATTTGTCATTTTTGATCCAGTTTTAACCACCTGGTTGAAACTAGGTTAAAACGGCGAAAAAACTTTGAAAACTTCACGTATTTAAAAGCTCGTGAAGTTTAAGGTCTAATTATTGCATGGATTAATGGGGAGCCATATCTTCATGGAATTTGAAGTCTCGTGAAGCTGAAACTTCACGGGATTTCAAATCTGTGAAGTTGCAGGTACCACTTCTAGAGAACGAAAGCTTTATGGCAAATGGGCCTGCAACTTCACGGGATTTGAAATCTCGTGGCTCCCCTCTCACGTGATCTCATTTCACGTCGCGCGCCCCCCCCTCTCTCTCTCTTCTTCCTTCGCCCCCAAACCAGATGCATCTCCCGCTACCGTCGTCGTCGCCGTCCTTTTTCAGGGCTATAAAGTGCCGGAGTTTACCGGAGCTCGTTGGATATCAAATTTAGGGCATTGACAAATTTTCGGTAAAATCTTTAAACCTTTTTATTTGTTTCTCCTAAATTTTTACACATTCTCACTATTTCATGCTAATAACTTGTTTAAATTTAGATTTTGTAATAATTTTTTATGAATTTTGTGAATAAAAATAAAGAAATTTGCATATGAAGTTAGAGGGGAATTCAGGAAAAATTGTAAAAGTTAATTGTAAATAATATTTTTTGTGTTTTTCGTATAATATTGACATTGGAATTTTTTTACTATTCAGAGGTAACAATGAACGATCGAATCATAATTCTTTGTTCATATGATGGGAAGATTAACTATCTCGAGAATGATATGCATGTATATGAAGGAGGTGTGATGAAACCGTTATTTATATCAAAATCGTATACTTTCGATAGATTGGTTAATGACTTACACAAACTTATATTAACCAATCCACGTGAGTGTCACCTCAACGTGATTTGCAATTATCATGTTATGGGGAACAGAACAAGCGACATTTAAATTTCAAGTGACTACGATATGGGTCTCATTGGAATATTATATGACGAGAAACGTTTGGTGGAATTATTTATTAAAAAGCATCACAGAAATTTGGGCAAATCGGTGAATCAGGATAGAATATACTCTCGCATGTTGGAGGACCTTGAAGTTGACTCCACCAGAATTTTGTCTCCGCAACAGAATATAAGATGGATACAATCACAATACTTAAGCGATCCTTCACTTGTGGGCACTTCAAATGCCTTTGATGATAACGGCACGACACCCATCAAGATATAATGCTTTCCACAGGAGTGACAATAGAAGATGATAAGGCAAGTGTCAAATCCGAGGATGATGACGAAGAGGATTGCTTACAAATTAATAGAATGACATGTTTGATAGGTCATGATGAAGGGGACAACCATTTAATTGACCGATGTTATCCTAACAATGACTATGTCGTGTTAGAGGATCCGTCGCCTGATGAACTTCATGGAAGAATGGATTGATGACTCCGCAATAAAAATACTAATATTAGCACTAATTTAAATGATGATACACAAGGCGAGAACTTTTCATTCAGACAGGGCGATCTATTTGAAAGTAAAGAGAAATTGATTCATGCACTTCGTTTGTGGGCCATAAAAATGTCAAGTTTAGGCAAATGAAAAACACAACGCAACAAAACCGCGACTAGACATATAGAGTTTTCAAGAAATGAGCTTGATGGCCTCCAACACCAACAGATAAATATAAAACTCAATTCATTATTTATATTTTAATTTTTCTGTAGATGTTGATACGAGTTTTTTTTTAATTTCAGTTTAAATGGACGCTCTATTCTCTGTCAGATCTCGATATGCATACCCTTGCACCTATCTGTAGAGATAGCGCTACTTTGTGGAGAGTCAGAGTCCCGGTTGATATGTTGAGAGATTGTAGAGATGCATGTCCCAGATCATGTGTTACGGTAATTTCTTCTTTCTCAGCATGTGTCGGATCCTATTGAGCAAATCGATCGTAGGCGACAGATGACATCGTATCGTACAGACTGGGCCATATTCCATGCGGCCTACATAGAAAGGTGAAATAATAGGTGGAATTTCATACAGAACGAGAGAATTCTAGCAGATGGTTATACAGCGTATATGCGTTGGATTTGAATATCACACGTAGATAGATAGGACGCGACCCACAGCTAGCAACTGGATGCGTACCACGCCCACCGATAGATAATTACATCCTTAGTGCCATGATTGAGAGGGATTATGTAAGTTTTTAAACTAAATTAAAACGACAATCCTTTTTTGTCAATATATTATTTTCTAAGTTGTGTATATATTGATTAAAACGCAGATCCATGCTTTTGATGAGATTGAGGTTGCTATAAATGAGCATATTAATGAGATTCAGGATCCACACTGTTAGGATCTTCAATAGGATTAGACAGGGAATAGCAAACGTGTTCCATAAAAATAATGTTGACGAGTTTGAAGGACGTGAGGACAGATCACGCCAACTTGGTAAAGTGTATACGTGAAGACATAGGACTGGTCAAAGGGTAGCGCGTGACGACGGAACCGGCACTTCTCAAAGTGCGGCGCGTGATGATGGAGTTTACACTTCTCAGCCACATACACAACTAAATACTCAGATCATCGAGGCACATCAACATGGACAGATGGGGCAGGGACAAGGGGGAAGAGTGAGGGGAAGGGGTAAGAGAAGGAGAGGAAGGAGGGGTGGACTTTTAGGATGTATGTGAAATTTATAATATGGTTATGAATTTTAAGAATATATATGGTTAGATTGTTCAAATTTGTTGCTTGTGCGGATCAATTTTTGTTTATATATGTGATTTTCTCGTGTATTGTTTTGATCTATGGTTAAATTTTATGAATATTTTTCTAATTCAGTATATATGCCGGAAATTTGATGTTTATGGTTGGATTTTCATGTATATTGTTGTGAATGAGGCGGAAATTTCATTATATACAACATGTTTTGGATTGTAAAATTTATAGGCTCAATTAGAGATGGAACATGCACACAGTCTATGCATGTTTAGGGTATGCAACTTCACGAGATTTTAAATCCTGTGAAGATATGGCTCCCCACTAGTCCATGTAGTAATTAGGCCCGGTTGAAACTGAGTCAAAATGACAAATATGTTTGAAATGAGTCGTTTTTTAAAAATAAATTTCTGAAGGGGCCTATTTTAAAAATTTGTCAAAAATTTTGAGAATGAATAAATATTTGTTTCAAGAAAAATTTTTGGTGAAAGTGTATGAAATGCATATTGAAGAGGGAGTTAAGACTAATTTCTCTCCTTAACTTACTTTTCACTTCCAAATATCCATCCTCTACCGTTCATCGTCCACTTTTTACGTCAAATCATACTCAACAAAATCGAAGGGGCGATCTAATTAGTTTTAATTCTTATTACCTCGTTATAAGCAAATAGCATATCATATCTCGAGCGCATCTGGTGTAGTGGTATCATAGTACCCTCCCACGGTACTGACCAGGGTTCGATTCCCTGGATGCGCATTTGTTTTTGTTTTTTTAGCAATTTTGTCACTCTGTTATGAGTCGGGTGGCTTTTTCAGTAATTATGACACGCTGTTACGAGTCGAATGGAGGAAGTCTTGCCCACTGTTAAACCAACCCGGCGCAGATCCTTTTCCTTTAATTTCTGCCCAGAGCCCATATGCCAGGGCCCATAAGCCATATCCCATCAATCGTGTTGGCCTTTCTTCTTTATTAGATCAAGGAGTACACATATTTAATTTTGAAAAATGACTTAAGCACCCAAAATATAGGACAAAGGGAGGGGACATGTGATGTGTCCCCTACATTGGTCCCATATTTTGGGTCTCCGTAGCAATACTTTTTAATTTTCTGCTTTTGATGCGTCTGCTTTGTCTTCTCTTGATTCTACTTAAATACCAGTATAATGTTGTTTCAAACATAACCAACTCTTGAACATTTTCCCTTACAATTGAGGCTTGATTTAGTAAAGGGACTCACAACTAACTCTTTCCATTTTTTACAAGGAAGGCTAGCTATCAGTTTCATACTATGAACCGTCTACCTTTTTTGGTCATGTCTATGTCGTATGCGAGATGGCTACTCTACACTACTATTCAACTTTTCTGACATGTAAAACTTTGAAAATATTTTAGTTATTATGTATTGAAAAAGTGTTTTGTCTTAAATTTGGGAACCACATGCGTAACCTTGGTACGGACTATTTTTCTCAAAAATCGAGTAGAAAAAAAAAGAACGCGGGATGACCCACAACCCGGACCATCGTGAGCTGGGATGGATCATCATGGGTCGGATCGGACCACGCCTAACCCCTTAAAGGCTATGGACCGGACTGAGTTTAGCCTTAGGAACAGAGTCCTCCGCCTAGCTTGTCAAGGCCCGGCCCGGCCCGGCCAAGTTGGTTCGCGGTTCGGGCCTTCTAAATCTACACAAGACGATCCTTTAAAAAAAAAATCTACGCAAGAGGAAACACACATTAACACATTAACACATTGAAATTGCGTTCTTGTTCAAACGAGCAGGTTGCTTATCTTCACCGGCACCACGTTTGACTGGAATAAGCCACATTCAAACCCTTTCTCCTCACAAGGGTCGCAAATCACACAAAGCCTGTTGATGTTGAATTGGCTCCGTCCATACAATTTGATCACAACCAGCAAACCCAGGGCGCCGCCTTTCGACCCCGCCCCCCCGTCAAAGCAAAAGGGGAAAACTAGGCCGCAAAGCCAACCATTTGTGCTTGGAGAATCGAACAGCCTAATGCATGGGTAATTTGGAAAGGTGGCATAGTTTGATTTGTGGAATGAAGAAGCGCAGACTTTGTTTAGTACAAATTGCAAGCCTCATTTTTTTTGCTGAATGTCATGTGCCCATGTCAGCGAAATATACGTGCATCCACGAGGCTAGCGTAATAATCGAAATGTTCAAATTCAATTATTGATGGAAGAGGGAGCACAA